CTTTATAATCTTCCATACATTTTTTAAGTATTTAGAATTGAATAATTTATCTATGCAAATTTCGCGTAACGCCATTTTTCCTGAAACCGTCATTTTATTGGAAAACATTGCGCGTATTGTTATTTTCGATGTCACGAGGTGTCAAAGCTATTATTATTGTACAGGAAGCCCATTATGCTAACGATATAATCATAGCTGCGCAGGAAAGAAGAAGCCCTGTGAATGAAAGAGGCTGCCGTCGCATTTACAGGAAAGTCGAGTTATTCTCGTAGATAATAAATTATTACAGCGATGGCACCTGAATAGGATCGAAAGATGAGTCGAGTCGAAGTTAACAACTCGCGCTCGCAGTAGAGAAAGTAATCGGGCGTATTATTCGATTAAAAGTAATTGCTTCCTGGCGACCAGAAGGGTCAGTAGAAAGTTAAGGCGAGTGGAAATGAGTCAGTGAGCGTACTTTTAATTCGAAATGCGATTTACTTCTCCGTCTTGATAACAGGTTGTCCCGGAATGATTTGTTCTTCAGCGGATTAGAAGAGTAGCTATCGTGGCACAGAGAGTTGTGCGTCTGCTTTCAATGCCAAAGACCCGCGTTCAAATCCGACTAGAAACAGCGAATTTTTATTCGATCGCTACGTACGCCTCTCGGAAGATAGTGTCAATCCACCGAGAGAGTATGTCTTGCCGTGAAAACTCTCTAAATTAGAGAGTTAAAACAGTAGGTTCCGTATACCTGTGTAAATTGTAAATAACGCGCACACCACAGAAATATACGATAAGGGGTCACTGCGCTTCTGACAAGAGGACAAAGGACTCGGAAGAATTAAAAAAAGCGATTTTTAACTCATTAAACTTGTTCGAACGCAGTGTTTCGTTTGTAACTTTTCAAATTTCAACTTGAAACTGTCCGTAATTCTTGTTTCTAATTAAATGAGCGACTTTTGAGATCAATCTTATCGTAAATTCGATATATATTGTAGAACAAGCGTGTATTTCGACAAGAGGTTTCAATCGATGTATAAATTACCACCTAATGCTTGTGCTTATCCTATATCAAACACACATGAGTTTGATCTCAAAGTCTATTATTTAATTAGAAACAATTTGAAATAATTATAGACATTTAAAGTTGAAATTCAAGAAGTTTAATAACGAAATACAGCGTTCAAATAATTTTGCTAACTGAACAAAAATCTTTTTTTTTAATTTGTTGGAAAAAACGGTTTATATAAATATATAAGCACCGAAATGGACCACGATATCATCTATACGTGCTTAAATCTTTTTTGTGTAGCTACTATACTACTATATATTATTATTTTGTGACGCTTTTCTTTCTTTCTCCATTCTATATTTACTTTATTTTGTATACAGGAAGTATTACATAATTGAAATTGGATGAATTTAGTGGCCGTGCATGTCGGTCGATTTATCACATATAAAGCGTTTGTTACGTAATTCTTAAATTGATTTTACATGTGAAACTAAAACGGGATACTAAGACGGGCGTGCCATTGTCGTTTCGCACGCGTAAACGTGTTGCGCTCGACGAGAAGTCGAGAATCTCGCGAGATGAATGCGAGTCCTCTGCGCGATCTCGTGTGTGCAACAGTTACCGCGCTCCCTGTCTCCGCGCGCCACGCCGCTCGCTTTCGCTTTCGCTTTCTCCTTCGCCGTGCCATCTCGTAATAACGCGTCTCACGGGCGATTCTCGTCTCGCAAGCGTAAGGAGAGCGATACAAACTAGCTGCGAGTTACTTACGGGGGAGCAATGCCACATCAGTGCCGTCACGCCTATACGCGTATCGGTAATTTAATAATAGACCAAAGTCTATTACTGCGCACCCTATGACGGTTATTACGAGTCGGATATACGATCGATTCGCGATAATGTTTAGGTACAGGCCGCGTTACGAATGTTACGTTCGACAATGTGCTATTATCTAATAGCGCGATTCGTTTCGTGCGGCGGTTTCGTATTTATCGGAAAACGCAGCAACCCGCAATTCATGTAATGAATATTGCATTAATAATTCGTGCACGATTATTGCATCTATCGCACACACTCGCGAGCAATTAGATGCAAAATCGTAATTAATTTTTCGCGTTTGACGAAAACGAATACTGATAAACTTAGGTCTTTGCACTCCCGAGGAATAGGGGGAGGGGAGAGAAAAGTCTTCACTCTTTAAAGTGCCAACGATCTCGAATTGTAAACGAATCCACGTGACGCCACTGACTCCCGAAAGCGCGCAGTCCCGTTATCGTCACTACGATTCTCAATCGGCCGAAGATCGAAAACTAATGACGCGGCGCCGTTGGATCGTCAAGTAACATCCGATCGTTCGAACGTTTGCCGAATGACTTTGTCAGGCCACGAAAACCGTTCCAGAATGTAACCGAACTTTCTCCTCTTCCTCCTCTTCCTTCTTTGTTTCTTTCTTCCCCTTTCCTCCCTTTTTCGTGTCCTTTCTATTTGAATAAAAGTCGGAGAGAGAGAGAGAGAGAGAGAGAGAGAGCTAGAGCGAGAGGAATAGAGCTCGTAACGAAATTACTTGTTCTGAAACCCGGAGAAACCGGTTCTCAGAGTCTTGCGGACTCGCGAGAGTCTCGCTCGTTTACCTCGGTTTCCACTCTCGGGTATTGAGCACACTAACGCAAGCAGAGATACCGAGATGCCCGCGTGAGGGATTAGAGACGGGTACGCCACGTCGCGCGCGCACACAGTTTTCCGACTCTCGGGGAGGCAGCGACCTTGTCGCGCGCGCGCTCGTCGGAAAAGGAAGAAGACTCTCGCGCCTCTCATTCCAAACAAAGAGCGCCACATTTGGCATTTTTCGAAAAACGTTTGAAATAGTTTTCGAAAGGAATCCGTGTTGTTCCACTCTTCAATTCAGCCAATGTTTTTTAAATCTCTGCCTCACTTTGTTATATTTTCGGTACATTTGCGAGAAACAAATCAGATTTTTATGGAATATTTATAGAAAATAATAATCGCGGATGTGCCATCTATAAACGTTATTAATGACGTTCCCTGCGTGGATTATCCGAGTATCCCTCCAAAGCTTCTATCTCTCTGTATATAATTGCAATAATATTATAATTACATATGCGACTAATTGATGAAATTACGCCGCATCATAGTCGTGTGTAGTGTGCAAGACAGTTACTTTCCGAGGAGATATCGCTTTCTATCTCGTAGACGTAAATGTCTATCGCGACAGCAAGAAGCGCCTCAAACTGCGATTAGTTAACTGCGTTTATCCTTTGTTCAAGCTGCGGGGTACGCATTACAATTCATTATAATGAAGATAGTCTGCGAAGTAGACTGCCTTGAGGATAATGAGCCGATTATATACGGACCGTACGCGCGGCGAGACTGTCTTGATCATAATGAATTCGCCGGGAACGAAGACGAAGAGCGAGTGAGCGAGCGAGCGAGCGACCGAGTGAACGAGCGAGCGAACAATTCGCTCCTTTCCGGATGCTGTTGGATGCTGGCTGGCTGGTGGTACCGGCGTCGATGCATAAGCGCGAGCGGAATTCGAGAGTAAGAAGCCGAGGGGAGACCGGAATGTCTGGAACGAGCGCGACGAACACGACTTACCGTTACGCATTTCCGCGAAAGAACGAAAATTACCGTTTCACTTCTTAAACCTTTCCCTCGAAAAAAAAAAGTGGGACCGCGATGATTCTTTACTTTTCGTCGCGTTCCTAGATCAGCTGATAAATTAATTGGAAAATGTGTTACTTTTTTTAATTATCTATACATAATTGTGTAGATATATATAAATTTTTTTATGCAACGATCAATTTTTTTTTTATATCGTCACGAGTTAAAAATCCTGCTCCAAATAAAAATATTTATTTTGGAACGTGTAAACTTTCTCTCTCCTCTTAAACTGCTTTGTTTTGACATGTATACGTATGTTTTTTAACGCGTTAAAAGGCTTGTGTCTCCACATTCGTTTCCGAAACGAAAACTTTTCGATATCGGATGGGGCAACGGAAAAAATAAATGCACTCTCACGGATTGTCGGCGTTAAATGCATTCGTCGCTCGATTCGGCGCACGTTCTCGCGCCGAAGTGCGGTTGCAACTTTTCGCGTTGAATTTTTTTCGCGTCGCTCGGCGACGCGTTCTCGCTTCATGAATATTCCGGCGTTCATTACGGCGACGCCGCGCGCCGTGCCGTGCCATTGTTGCTTACCGGAACAGCCGTTGCTCGTTCGCGTCCGAGCGACGAAATTTTGATCGCGATCTCTTTCGCTTTTCGAGTCCAAGTATAATAGTTTTAATCGCGCTGCAATTCGACTTAAACCGAATGAGAGAGATCGAATTGTTCTCAACCTGCATATGCAATTGAATTGTTTTGTTAGAGTAATATCGAATTAGCATAATTATTCATTAATGGATCGAAAATCACATATCGCTGTTTAATGAAATTATATCCGGCAATAATATCCGGATATTGCTCGTGGTAACAACGAAATACGTTAATTGCAGTTTTAGCGTATTAAAGATGGAAATACTCGGGGAACCTAATGTAATTATCGGTACGAAACCGATTATCATTGCTCGAACATGTGAGAAACGCGACCGTTCGCGTGTCTTTAAACCGGGATTAACCTTTCGCGAAGTTTTGATGGATCACCTGGCATTACAAATTGCCGCTTAATCCATCAACCAAGTTCAGCAGTTGCGGCAATTATTTTAGCGTTCGCATGCCGCCCCCCTCGACTCTCGTTCGTGCACTTCAACTTCAACGTTCGGGAATTGCGTGCGCATGTACGCACGACACCTGACATACGTATTCGTTTCACGCTGCGCGCTGTTGACTTCCGATTCAAAACGAGAGCGCATTCGAGCTTCGGAAAATGCGGAGCGTTGCGCGGAGAAGTCGTGGATTTTTTAATTAAAATTTTCCAAGATATATTCAGAGATTTGTCTCGCTTGAAAGGAATCGTATTTTCAGTGGATGTTTCTTTTTTCGTTTCCAGGTTTTAAATTCATCCCTGTGGGCCCCACGTATGTTATGGTACAGCCTGCACAACGCGATTGTTCGACGTATAGCAACTGCAATGAGCAAGTAAGTGTACGAGTTATTTTTCACAAACTGCATGATCTTTCAAGTTTTTATTTCGATCGCCGTAGAATTTGCTCTCTTCAGTACCCTGCGTAATTCGCAGTGTTTTATTTCGCGTTCACGATTGCGCGGCGGTTAATCTCATTCGGCGAGAGACTGTGCGCGCACTCGCGTAATTGATCACCCCGCGGATTCCGATCGCCGGAGCGTCGAACGACGATTAATAAGCACACAATCGGACTCAACGAGACGCCAACGAGTGGAGCGTTTTTTTTTCTCTTCCCCCTCTTCTCCTTACGACAACAGCCGTTTCTACGGTTGCAATTACGATCGCGATCGTAAATCAGCGTCTCGATGCGCCATTCCCCGTCCGCCGCTGGAGGGCTTGCCTCTCGGTCGCCTCGTACATGACATAAACGTTATACGAGCGAATGCAGTAGTCCATTGTCACGATATACATGTGTATGTGTGCCTGACTGCCGCGATATAGTTACCCGTATGGTTACAGCCGGGCGTTATCATTGTCGATGCGCGTAATTGCCTTCACGGTTGCACGCACGATTCACGAGGCTTCGTGGAGCCGCGAGAGGCTTCGCAAGATATCCTAAGTTGGATTAAAGAAATCGTGTGCACGCGCGCGAACGCAATTTTGCGATACGCAAGCAAGAACGTTACACTTGCAACTGTCAATAGTAAACTAAAAATAGAACTGTTTATTCAATGATTAAAAAAAAAAAAATCTGTCATATTAGATACGCGACGCAGTAATTAAGTATATGGTTCAAATAAGTCGCGGAATATCGTTCGTTCAAGTCCTTCTACATGCCTTGCATCCGGACGGCATCATTATTAACGAACGAGAGAAGCGGCACGATGGCAAAACGGAGAAGAGGCCTTTGTTAAGTCGAGCGTCGCGTTATCACTGCGCGATCGTCGCTGCGACGAGTTACGATGTAACGGTGTTTTACGGTCCCCTCTTCCGCTCTTCTTCCTTCTTTCCGCTTTCCCTCGTTTTTTTCTCGTCTTTCGCAATGCATTGTCTCTGTGCATCTGTATCCGCGTGACGCACTCTTCTCTAATCGTTAGTAAGAGAGACTGATTGTGAGTATGGAAAGAATTTCGTTAACATTTGTACACCAATATATATCTTAGTATGAAACCATACATATCTCTATTTTTTTAACATAATATTTGTATTGATTACCAATGTTGGGGACATCAAATATTGGCATGCAATAGAAATTTTCGTTAATTTTTAACAGTATTGATGTTATACCATTATACCAATATTATTACTATTATATTATTGAAGGTTGACGATATTAAATTAATTTATAAGGTGTTCAATTTCTATTTTTTATGTGTACAAAAACTAATATTCGCAGATTAACAGGATTATATTATATTAATTTCAAATTTATCTTTCTTTTTCTAATAATATCTTTGATAATAAATAAATACATTAAAATATACATTAAGGAAACACTGTGCAAATGTGATTAATTTTACAACATCGATTTAACAAGATCCAATCAATGTAATAATAATATTAGTATAATACCGAAGCATTGTAATATAATATTACAAATCGTACTATAATATAATACCATGGTATATGTATAATATAATATTAAAAACATGTATATATACGCTTTTTAATATTATATACATTGTGGTATTATATTGTAATTTGTGATATATTATAAATAATAGTGATTTATTATATATATATATATATGTATTCATATTGCTATTATTTTATAATTTCAATACCTGATTAGAAACGTAATGTTGAGAGTTGCGATTTACACGATTTTGCTTGTATCTCGATTCTCGATATATCAAATATAATAATTGGTTATTATCATTACATAGATTTTGCTATTTAGTAAAAGATTAAAGAGAATACGTTCTTACAAATATCTCAGTTTGTTACGAGTATTTTATGCGATGCACAATATGGAATGACTCGTACCTATCTTGTAATTTTCTGAGTTACCTGTACCGCGAGGAATCTCGTTGAGTTTATCTCGCTCTTTTAGACCCTCCTGAAAATCTGGTGTTCCTTCAGGAAATCCAATACCTCAAAAGGAGAAACGCTTGTATAAAGTCCATTTACGTGAGCGTTTCCTCAGACAGCGAAAGGGTGAGACAGGAACGATATGGTTCCGCCATAAATCATTCTTCTTCATCGCTACCGGAAGTCTAAGCTTCCGACGAGAACGTATAGCACAACAAACGTAGACAGCATGATAGTTTTGGATAGGAGGGGTTAATCCATCAACCGGATCGAAAATAGTGGAATCTGGCATTGGCGATATGTATCGGCGGGCGCGGCGGCGGGATAAAGGGGCGTTCCGCGTTGAATTGAATGCAACGAGAAAGGGCGCGCGCGTCGGCCGGCAGAAATTGAAACGTCGCGCGGAAATTGAACGACGGCATAGGTGAACGAAACCTTTCCCCGGTCGCGCGCGCGCGCGCGTGTCGTCGGCGGGTCCCGACGCGGAAATGGAAGCGTCGCCGCTTGTAAACCGAAACCCTTATAAATCAGTCCAACACTTTTCGCGCGACGACGCGCGGTTCGAGGCCGTGCCATTGAAATAAGATCATATGCGATCTTGCGATTGTTCGTATCTTCCTTCGCCTACCTATTCACCGTCGTCGCGAGAAGATCGTTCGTTTTTTCTTTCTTATATATTGTATACGGGTATCTCGAACACCATTGAATGTTTCTTTCACTATAGATTTTTTTACCGATATGAAATCGATTTTTCCTCAATGAAAATTTCCTTTTAACGAGGAGGTATTCATAGTTGTTGAATAACGATCGTTAATTATGTATAAGAATGAAAAACGTAATTATGTAAGAGGGGATTCTGGACAGCTGTGAGTTAAATGTTCTTGAAAGAAAATCCTCTCGACATAATATTTCATTTAATATTTATGAACGAAGCTCGAAGCTTAAACGTTTACAAAAATTTGTATCCGATGATTTTTATACAATTTGGTGAAATCTTTCCTATATACCGTGTCGCGATAATTTCATGCTATCGTGCGATCGAGCGAATCTGGAAATCGGGAATCCGATTATGCGGCAGAGAGACGACTTGCCGGTAGCGAATCGTACAATATAGATCAGGTACATTCCCACAAATGGATCTCGTGTCTCCGTCGTGTCGCTTGCTTCGTGCGATTTTAGCCCGGGGACATCGCCTTACGTTACATTGAATTACCTCGGTGTATTCAGTTGTGCGGCGGCGCGTGCTACCGAGAAGCAGACGGTGATATGTGTATTTATACGAGCACTTATCGCCGCGAGATTACGCCTCTCTAATCTCTATCGGAAGTATACATCGCCTGTGGATGTGTTCGTGTATCTTCATCGCGTGTAAGGAAACCTCTTGTCATACAGCTACACTGTGGCGAATCCGACACGTTAAATACCGCGTAAATTTTGATTAATTCTGTGAGACTCTAATTAATGACACGAAAAAATCAGAAAGATTCAATTAAAAAATATGTAATTATCGTGTTTAGCCCCTTTTATACAGAATATTGCGCAGAACATAATTGGCGCAATATGACTTTTATGAACTTTTTGAAAAATAGACTAAAATTTATTAATGGCACTTTTGGAACCTAGAATTGATAAATACTTTTTTAATCGAATGCAGCGTCTAGATAATAATGGCTTATGTTTGAATGAGATATCTATAAGTTATTTGATAATGTAAAAAATTAAAGATAAGCAACATAATGCAGATAATGTAATTACACAATATTAAGTTAATCAATAAAAATATAATTTTGTATTTTTAATTAATAATTACGATAAGTATATAAATGAATTGCAATAAATGCGTAACATATTTAAATACGATGCGTTTGATTTAAAAAGGCTTAATAAATTCTAAGTTTTGCAGGTGTTAAAGTATTAATAAATCTTAACGTATATAATTTTTAGCTTTTGCTCATATAAGCTTTTTTTATAAAAACGTTACATGCTATTGATTGCAGAAATAAAAAAGAAACTGCAATTACTTTAATAATAATGTTGCAAGAAATACTGAAACTTTTATTATATGAAATCGTTAAATCAATTTTATCATGTGGAAAGGATTAATCTATTTTTTTCTATCTGTGATGCGTGTAACTTCTTAAGTGCAATTAGTGACACTTTATCGTATATCAATCAGAAATAAATCAGTGTCATAGAGCCGGCCATTGTCGCAATGATCATTTAATGTGCCAAGACCCTATCGGAACCTCCGCGATCGATTCTCCGATGAGTTCTCGGTAGAATGGATACCAATTAAGAGGCAGCGCATTTCCCGGGAAGCGCACGGATCTTCTCGCTTATCCTTCCCGGTTCTCACAGTTTCTCTCTTCCTCCACCGTTTCTTCCTATGCGGATCGCCGGCAGCCGCGCCGCGCCGCTCTCAAGGCAAGTTATGCTGCCAAGGGAGGAACTCGTTTGAATTTAATGCTGGTCATTATTGCGCGCAAAAGGATGACTCATCGTCGCTTCGATTCTTGTCTCTTCGACAATCAATGACAAATCCGTAACGGTTTGCTTCAATAAGACTTTACATCACGAATCTTGTACGCGTCGCGCTTTGAAAAAACGTAGTTCCGAGTTTATTTACAATTTACACGAAGCAGCGACAGTTGCAAAGTATCTCGCGTAGTTTAATGTGATTATTCTCGAAAAGAAATTGTATATAGTTACTTAAAAATAGGAACAGGTTTTTTTAGTTTCTATCACTCAGGGAAATGTTTCGCTGTTTCAGCTAGAATTCTAAATATTATACACTTAAATTATATCGCTGTTTTTTGTATCTGCTAAAAAATTGTCTGTCTTATACGTAAAATTTATAGCAGCAAATATATTCTAAGAATATATACAAGAAAATATAGGTCTCATAACTAAATATGATTGAAGTTTGAATTGGAGTCTAGACTGACTAAACGTCATAGAGGAACTTTCTTGCTAAATTTGACAA